AAGCATTTAAAGTTCAAAAATTGACAAAATATGGAAAAATCACGAAAATTAGCAAATTATTTTGAGTTAAGAATTCGTAAAAATTTTTCTTTTTAAATCTAAGATTTTAAAATGTAATACAAGATTACTCATAAGTTTGTCTACCTTTATCAATAAAAAAATCTCTACCAGACAGTCAAATTAAATTTTTATGAGCGTTTGAAATTCAAATTTTTACAACATTGGATATTCACTCGATTACTCATGTAGCGATTTCTTTATTTTGTTGCAATTCAAAACCGAACAACTGTAGAATTAGTGAAAATTAGTGAGATTAGTGAAATTAGTGAAAATTTCACTGAATGTTTAAATTAGCATTTTCTATACACCATACAATTTTGAAAATATTTTGACTCTTTTTGAGCTGTTTATGGACATTTACAGCTTTAAATTGTTTTTAGTTTTTTTTTCTATAAATATCAATAAAGTTTTATCTGTTGGGCCAAAAAGTGTAAAAATTTAATACAAGGCTCCTGATATATTGTTACAATAGTAGTTGAAAAATATTAAAAATACATAGGCACAGTTTTTTTTTATAAGCATTTAAAGATCAAATTTTGACAACATTTATCAAAATCTCGAAAATTATCAATCATTGTAATTAATAAATTATAAAATGTTCAGTTTTTATAGCTAAGGATTACAAATTCAACACAAAGGTTCTCATAAATAGTTCATACTATAACCAAAAAATCTAAAAATATATGAACACACTTATTTTTTACAGACATTTTAAATTCAAATTTGGACGAAATTACATATTAAAAAACCTAGAATAACTATTTAGTTATTTTGTTGTGATTGAATAATATTATTCGTGGGGTACTTGAACTTCTAAAGTGTACTATTATAAATTATAATATATCTATGATAGTATCACGGTTTTTGACTTTTGTTGATGTATAACGCGTTATAAGTATCTAATGGATATTGTGATATACTGATATGATTAATTTGGAATTTATTATAGGTACCTATTATAGGTCAATTTTTTGTTTAATACCATAGATATGTATATAATATTCTTATACATAGACTGACATACCGTCACCGCTCAGAATCGTTTTCTTATACAATGATATTATATCATTGAATTCAAATTTAATACCATTCATTATACAGTGCCCCACTTGTAACCTACTGTACAGCAGAGCGACATCCACTTACCCACCTTTTTTTTTTGTTTTTCACGACGCTTTTGAAAATTACTGGGAACTTTTTTACTTTTGATTTTTGACTCAACAAAGTATCAACTTGATTCACTTCCCTATCAGACAAGATGCTGAAGTAGAAATTTGAAAATAGAATTTATGTTTTAATGGTAAAACTATTAATTAAATTATTAGTTATTGGCTATTTCTAATGTTATCACATAGTACACACTGCACGCTGCGACACACTAGGAAGTCATCTTTCTTATATTTGTACAATATCTTTTTACACTTAGGATTACGATTATCCACCAATTTTGGTTGTACACCCACCCCTTAAAATAGGTGTGGCAGCTGCCACACCTAATACATGGGTTCGGCGCCACTGTATTATAGTATATATTATGTACATTATAGTCGTTGTAAAATATACATAATATACATTATATAAGTAATACTTATACAGTTTACATATTATTATACCGTACGATTAATAGGCAGGCACTTTCGCACTACATACATGATGCATACTTTAGGTATCTAGGTATATCAATCACTGTGTCAAAGCCTTGCGACGCATTTTGTAAACGTTGTTAGGTATAAATAATAATATTGTTGCTGGTAACCCGAATTGTTTTCGCTTGTGGTGTTTGCAGCGTTCGCGGTCGCATACTCGTATGTTGTTATTATTTATTATTATTATTAACCTATTCAAATTTCAAACAATATAACATTACCTATATTATATGACGGGTATTGTACACGCTCGACATTTACAACGATGGACGAAATCGCTCGTATATTGGCGAGTGTCGACGACTGCCTAGGCCGATTGTTTTCTAAAAGCCGAAAACGGCTATTTTGTATGCGTAACTGGTAATTAGAAACGTATTGTACTTCAATAGCCGGCCCAAGGTAGTACAACACTAGGTATTGTGTAAATCATTATAAAATTGTACATTATACACGTAATAGAGTCCAATTATTCTTGGTATATGTTGTGCGCAGTGTCGTATTATACATACATTTTGTATTGGTGAGTGTGGAGGGGGGATTCAGATCTGTGGAAAAATAACTAACCTATTATATTTATGTACCAAATATTTGTTTATTAATTGAAGAGTAAAATTACCCGAAGGCTAAAACAGAACATGAAATATACATTTTGTTATGAAAATTATCCCCGAAAAAATTGTACAATAAAATTGTATTTACTAGGTAGGTATAATTATTATAGGTATACAAATATAAGCACCTTAGTATTTTATCTAATTCGATTAGGTTAAAATGTAATGACTTGATTATTATATAATTATTATTTTTATATAAAACCATTATTATAAGAACTATTATATCCTTAATAACCTGATAAACTGATAACATTTCAATAACTCAAAAACTACCCACTCGTTTCAATTTTGTTTTATGTATGGAAATATATTTAATAATTTAAAAAAAATGGAATGGAATTTTGAATAAATAAATAATTTATTAGATGATAAAATGGGCGGTAGAGGGTGTCAAATATGTTTAGTGAATCAATCAGTATAATGATTTTCTTAACAATGAAGGTAATTGGTTAATTTTAATTTTTTAAATTAAATATTTTTCCGTCGTCAAAAACGCCTGAAAAAAGTATTTTAAAGTACCCAATTTTGTTTTTAATTTTAGTTGTACTTTTGTCTACCAGCGCAATAGACGAGAGAAATAAAATATTATAATATAACACTATACATTTCATAGCGTAATATACTAATATATAATCTATATAGGTACCTACCTCATCCGAAAGTCACTGCGACGATATGGCTGGACGTATCCCCTGCGGCGTGGGGTATAATAAGTAATATTCCGGTCGCGTGAATACCGTCGTGACCCGTATACAAGAGGTCAAACTACAACGTTCGGACAAGGAGCTTATGTCCTATACGTGCAGTATACTAATATAATATATGTATATGAAATTATCAATTATAGTATTATACGAGTTTAGTATTTATTAGTAGAACACCGGAACACATAAACGAAAAAATATGAATTGGTTATTAATTTTTTTTGAACCTAAATCCGCGAGGTCCGGTTCGCCCCCACTTATTTAAACGCATCCCGCGTTCGGTGTTTATACGGTAAGGTCATATCATGGTATTATAATATTGTACTATATATTGTAGACATTATTTATAGGCACAATAATGTCTACCTATAATATATTACACGTGAAACGGTCCTAAAATAATATAAAAATCACGACCATAAAATAATATTATATATTTATTATAATATTCGGGTCGAACGTGGTTCCCCGAGGCTCTCGGATATATGTTATAATAATATAACATTTTAATGGCGAACGCACTTGGTCGTGTACCGGACTTGATTATTTGGAATAACATTTATAACGTTTACTATTATAATATACGGTGTATTTCTATAACCTAACCTTTCCGGTTAACGACAAAACGATGACTTCTCTTGGGGGTTGGTCACGCGAGGATGACGAGCCTCGGATCACTAAACGTGTAGTGCCCCATACGCAGTACCTACCGTCAATAGGAAATTTGAACCTGTCATCTGATAGTTTTTTTTAGGTTTTTAGCACTTTTTCATTGTCATTGGTGACCTACCTATACATCTTATTGTGAAATTTTTTTTTTCTGGTGGTTTCATAGCAGGCCGTATAAGTAAGAAAGTATTTGAAAGTGACTTTTCACAGGTACTTAATTTTGAAGTAGGCGAGTGCTAATTTTTAGTCTAGTCATGTGGGAGTGTAGAAAACTCCACAAAAAACGTACAAAGTTGTAATTTTTCAAATGCGAATATCTACATAATATATTTTAGTCACCTGCATAATATACTTGTGTACACACGTGATTCTACACATGTTACATTATAACAGAACGTGTAAATAATATGAGCATAAATACTATAGATTATCTGTATAAACTATAAGATGTATCCTGTAATAAAAGTACTACAATATTCACGTAGTGAATATTATTGCATTGAAATTTGTATTTATAATATATATTGTTGCTTGTGGCGGCGGGTGAGCGAGTCCACAGATTTAACACACCCCGAATCGTGCGACCCACGCTTTTATATTCTGTACTTATATGTATAATACTGGCGTAGACCCCGCAAAACGGTTTGTCTCTACACACTATAATAATATTATCATTTATCTTTATTTTCGCCAAACGGAAACGTCTGGTTGTTGCTCCCAAGCGAGCGTGTACGACATCTTCGGTCGTGATCTACAAGACGTCTCTAACCTAACCCAACCTCGGCGGGTGGTGCGCATAACATTACATATTATCGGTTTATCATAATATGCAATACGACTATATACTTTGCGTTACAACCGGTGCTATACCTATACACGCCGGCGGCTGCTGCAGGACACGAGTGCTCACATAATATTATTATGCATATATCTATAGTATAATCTATATAATATGTTATATACATATATGCGGTTGCCGGAGGTCAGTGACTTTGAGAGTCAAGCGGTCAAGAGAAGACAAGAGTCGAGAGACAGACCACCATCGTGGTATATTATTGTAAAAAAAAAAAACGCGCAACGTCCCGCGTCCGCGTCCGGGGGCGGCGCGCGACGCTCGAGCGAGGCGAGCACCACCGCCGACGCGACCGTCTTCGTCCTGTTGCTTTCGCGACGTGCTCGTGACAACTCGCTGCAGCGTCCCGACAGCCGTCGTCGGACTCGCGTTTCACATAGTATAATAACAATTATTATTATTTTTAATACCTATTGTACAAAAGAAAAAAAAAATAACACAATTAACAAATAACATGGCAACGACGAGTTTGACGGTGGCCGCTGCCGTCTTTCTGTTGTACGGTTGCACGGTCGTCACCGGGATCACGGCGGGATTAACGATCGACGTGAGTATATTAATATACGCGACACCACGTCTGTTGGAATTATTAATATTATACATAATTATAATATATCTATATCGACAGAGTGGAGTGTTCTTAAAAAACAGTGACGTCGATAATAATGAGTGTATAACGGAAAAAAATAATACTGTTAATTGTCACGTTGCTACCCAACACTGAGCACCATTACATAGGTATATTCGTGGTTCAGGGTAGACGATTTTTTTGTTTGCTTGTTAACCGATCAGATTTAGTTCATTACTTTTCATTCATTTTACATACAATAATATCGCATACACTATAGTCGAATAACATGAAATTTCGTGTTGTACTTACGTTTGTGCATGTAATTTAGGATTTTCACATTTCTATTGAATATTAAGGTTTTTAACTTTTAGATTTTTTACCTACAGATTATTTTTACAAGATTATGACATGCTTATAAATTGAGACCATCTATAAAGTATAATATAAATATTATATTAAATTGTGTGGTTAACTCGTGCTCAGATATCAAATAAAAACTGAAACAAACCTAATATTATAGGTATACATTTATGTTTAACATGTATATTTTTCGTACGTTTTAGATTCATCTACGCTCGTTAAGTTTTCACGATAAAATAATTTACGACTTGTTGGTAAATGTAAAACGTTCTCAACTAAAACAAGTTTTAAATTTATGACAATTTTTAATATAGATACCTAAATAAAAATAAATCACCCAACCCATGTACATGCGTGAAGTTATCAAGAACCTAATTCAATTTTATTTTTTTAAACACTTTATATAAAGTATGAATAAATAGATTTTCAAAAGTTTAACTCCCAACTCTACACTTAAAAAGGTGTTTAAAAAAACTAGTAATGTGGCTTAAAATATAGTGTTGTATTAGGTATGTTTCGGTTCTATAATTTGTTTTCTGTTTTGCATAAGATATTATTATTTATTAATAATAATATGACAGCAATTCTGAAACATGAAATTCTTATCATTATGTGTTTTAATTACACTAGAATGACTAGAATCATTTTTAATTTTCCGATATTACAATTTCTATTTCAAACCGATTCAATGTGCTACATACTTACATGTATAAAGGAAATTCGCCACAAGAAGAAATGGTCATAAATTCATAAAAAACTCCTTAAAACCAATTGACCAATTGACGTATTACTGTCGATTTTTTTCGTTCCATTCAAAAAAATAAACAATTGTACATTATTTTTTTATTAGTTAGTCATAAGTTATAAGTATAATCATTGATTATAAATACTATTATTTATATACATAGTATTTTTTATATAGTATTTATAATCAATGGTATAATATTATTGTTAGTTGTTAATTAGCATTTTATTAACTGAATATCAAACAAGCGTAGTTTAAAGATTGACAGGGTTAAAAACATTACATTTTTACTGAGTAAAAATAATACAAGCTTATTATAGACATTATTTTTTTAAAGCATAGGATATACAGTTGTATCGTTCTGATGTTTGAAATATAATAATATAATAGATTTTAATATTTTATTAATACTTATATTGTCAAATTGTTCATGCTGACCTTTTATATAATAAAATGTATTTATATTCATGATTTTATAATTTGAATTGGGTAAATTAAGGAATACGTTTATAATCTATAACTATATAATATAACCTGTTCAAGTATTTATACTTTGTCACATAATGATCAGTAAACATTAAGTAATATAATCTTTCAATAAATTAGAATTTTTATGTGTAATAATTGTAGCCAGTAGTTAAACTATGAAGAAAAATCATTCTAACCAGGCATATTTATTGTTGTTACATATACTACTTTTTGTTATATAATGTATTTCTATACTATAATATATATTATTATTTACTATGTGTAATTTATACTCACACGATAGGGCATATTATTAAGGTTTAAGGTTTAACGAATGGAAAAGTGTTTCGAGAGTTACGTCCTATAGTTAAAATCAATATATAAACTTGAATTGAATTTAAAAAAAAAACACACTTCATAGCCGAATAAAAGAGGGATTGTTATTTAACATTTAAAAAAAACTAGGTATAGTAGGTATTGTTCCGAGTCGCGCCATAAAATGATCAGTCTTATTTTGCAAGAAAGTTTTAAGAAAAAATGCACACATGTACGATGTGAAAATCAATTGATTTCGGAACAAAAAAATATAATCGTGAAACTTCGAATCTATTGTTAGTACATTGTGTATGTAAAAATTATCAAGAACAATATAATATTTTGAATTCTTAAATATTCACTGAAACGTAACGACTTGTTTTATATTGAGATCATCTTACGTATAATTATTTACATTAATACTAATATTATAAATATATAACATTCAATACATAGAACTATTGAGAGAATAGAAGTAGGTACCTAATAATGTTTAATATGTTCAATAAGAATTTATACACACTCAATATTATGTATATTGTATTATTGAATGATTTATATTTTTAAATAACAGTTAAAATATTGTTATTATCGCTTATCCACAGAGAGCAGGTAACCGTAATCTCTTGAGGTATAGGTATTTAGTATTTACATAATATCTAGGAATATAATATTATTTTAAAAAGTACTGAGAATTTTCAATTTTGCCCTCGAACTTGGATTTAAACCTCTTATTTGGTAACCTTGGTCATGAATCATTGAATTCAAATTTAACACATCTATTTCAGTGGCTACTCAATGACGAGGTAGTGAGGTACACTTGAGTACTTGACTCCTACTACACAACAGAGTCAGTTACTACTTACTTCTAATTTTAATTTTAAATGTACATACCTGTCTATTGTAGGTACGTGCAATTGTATAATATACAATCATGTATTAATTAGTAAGTACAATTGTATAAATAAATCATCTATACTGAAATTAGTTTTTATTTAATTTAAAATTTGAAGTATAGTTATTCATTATTTACGTTTTGGATATCTACTTGTAAAATCGATTTAAGAGAAAAATTGTTATATTTTGCTGCTGGAAAAATTTTTATTGACAGTCTTGCATAAAATATAAGTAGGAACTTGTACAATTTTCTGAAAACTTTTTTATGAAGTAAGGTACAGTACAATTTTTGTGAAAAGAATAACTGCCTAATGTTACACATAAATACCTGTTTATAGATTTTTTTTCTTAAAATTTCTTATCATTTAAAAACTTTTTCACATTGTCACAAACTTCACATATCCCCAATTTTGTGTTACAGTAATAACTAATAAGGTTAGATAATATATATATATATAAGCGCGATGAACTATACAACCTAACCAACTAATCTTTTTGTCTCCAATTAAGCATTTGTAGTCGATTCTTCGTTGATTTTCTATTAGAATGCTTAGCTTTTGAACTGTACAGTTTATAATTAGGTAAGCTAACGGATGTATTTTCATATACAAGGTATTATATTCACTTGTACAAAAAACAAATAGGTTAGTACAATAGTACATGTTTTATTTTGAAATAGGTATCTTTAGTATATTCTACCATTAGGTATAGCCTAAACTTTAGAAGAATAGGACTTTAAATTATTCAATTCATAAAAATTGTACTGTCGTACAAGAAATGGTGTACATATTATGTAAAAATGAACGTAAAAAAATTACAATAACCGTAACACACGATTTAAGCGATTTAAAACAATAAGAAATCAAGTGAAATAGTTTTGAGAGTAAAAATCCAAACTGTAATCTATTGAAATTAATATAACACATTACTATTATAAATTATTATATAACTATTCGGGTTTCTACTTGTAAAAAAAAAAAATAACATTCTTAAAAATTGGTTTTATAGAGTTTGATGAAAAAAGTATGTGTGTAAAACTTTTTTTTTTATTTATTTGTAGACAAGCAAGCCAACTTTTACTGTTGATTACGAACGAAATGAGTTCCTAAAAGACGGTCAAGTTTTTCGATATGTCTCCGGTTCGTTACACTATTTTAGAGTTCCTAAACCTTATTGGAAGGATAGAATTCAAAAAATGAAAGCAGCTGGTTTAAATGCCATATCAACGTAAGTAAATATATTATATTGTAATTTATCAACTACAAACCGTAGATATTTGCAATTGCCACGAAATGTTTATTCTATAATTTTCTGTACTTTATACAATTTATATAAAAATGTTTACTCGTTTTGAGCTATTTGTAGACAGAATTTTGAAATTTAAAGTTTTTTAGTTTTTTCTTCTTCTATAAATGACAATTACATTTATCTGTTGGGTCGAATTGCTTGAAAATTCAATACAAGATTTCTCATAAGTTGCTTAAATATCAGTTGAGAAACATTAGGGATTCAATTGCACGATTTTCTTTAGTAAATATTTAAAGTTCAAATTTTGATAAAATTCATCAATATCTCGAAAATGTTCGAATTATTTTGTTGTTAAAAATGTATAAAATGTTCGATTTTTATAGTTAAGGATTGAAAATTTATTTTATACAGACAATGACATTTTCAAATGAAATTTTTTCGGCAAAAATGTATTTAATTTTTCCTTCCTTAGTACTAATGCCGCCTAATAGTTAAATAAATTAATTTAACCACAATTATATTATAAAATATAATTATCAATATAAATTTATTATAGACTGACAAACCCATCATCGCTCAGATTAGTTTTTCGTATACAATGATTTTATGTCATTGAATTCAAATTTAATACCTCCATTACAGTGACGCATCTAGACACCTAATGTACAGCAGAGCGTTACCCACTTGGCAACTTTTTTTTAAATAGATTTTATTGAATACTATACTTATTTATGTTTTATACTTTTAAATAGTGTTATTATTTATATTTTACACAGGTAAAATAAATAATTTTAATTAAATTAACTATGTATATACCTACGTCCTACATACTACATTGTCTATCTATAAGACTATGTATCTAATACCTAATATAACATCATCAAATTCGTTGTATTAAGCTAATTTGTGTATGCTAAAAACAAAAATATAAATTAAAAACAAACTGGATAATTAGAAATCCTTAAACATATAATATCAAATGCTTTAATGCTATAATTATTACGTTATTGAGTCGTAATGATTGTCAAGTTTATATTAAAATAATATTGTACCTATTGTAGTTATGTGGAATGGAGTTTACATGAACCATATCCAGGCTTATACAACTTTGATGATATAGCCGATTTAGAGTATTTTTTGCAGTTAGTTAAAGATGAGGGCATGTATTTGTTGCTCAGACCAGGACCATATATTTGCGCTGAAAGAGATTTTGTGAGTAAATATATATGAAAATGAATTAGAAACCGAATTAAAATTATTGTTTAACGAGTTTTAGGGCGGATTTCCATTTTGGTTATTGAACGAGGTGCCTAAAAAACGTTTGAGAACTAATGATCCAAGTACGCATTAGGGGTTTCTATTGTTACGATCAACCCTTTATTTATTATTTGTATAGTCTAGTTTCCATAAATAATCAATTATTTATGAAAATATCAACTATAAGAAACTGCACTAACACAATTTTTATATTCAATCTTAGGTTATAAACATTACGTTACCAAATGGTTTAATGTTCTTCTGCCCAAAATTGACCGATTTTTGTATGGGAATGGTGGAAACATAATTATGGTTCAGGTATATTCAACTAATACCTATATCATCGCATGGCACATTTCTTGAAAATAAATTTAAATTTTCTGTGTTTAGGTGGAGAATGAATACGGTAGCTACAATGCCTGCGACCAAGAGTATATGTTGTGGTTACGAGATTTGTACAAAAGTTACATTGGATATAAAGCTTTACTGTACACAACTGATGGATGTGGATATTCTTATTTTACATGTGGTGCTATACCTGACGTCTACGCAACTGTGGATTTTGGAGCCTCGATTAAAGATGGTAAGTATCATATGGACATATGGTATACCGTATACGCTATATACACGTATAATGTTGGACATTAATATTAAATTTTTTCTTAATTTTGCTTTCATTCTGGTTTTCAGCTTCCCAATGTTTTAAATATATGAGAACAACACAAAAGAGAGGGCCACTAGTGAACTCCGAATATTATGCTGGTTGGTTATCGCATTGGCGTGAACCATCGCCTGTCGTCAGTAGTTACGAAGTTGTGGAAACTATGAAAGACATGCTAGCTTTGAATGCATCGATCAATTTCTATATGTTCCACGGAGGTACAAATTTTGGGTTTACTTCTGGTGCCAACAAATACGAGAGTTTAAAAAATCCAGAATATTTGCCTCAATTAACCTCATATGATTACAATTCTCCTCTAGACGAAGCCGGAGATCCAACCGAAAAGTACTTTAAAATTAAGAAATTACTCGAAGAAACTGTAAGTCTTCATAATACAGATATAGACTTGTCATACATAATATATTAACTTTAATAATTGATTCAATGTTGAAGAAATTTATAGTGTCAAATGAAATATCACCCGTTGCAGCACCTAAAGGTAATTATGGAACATTCATAATGCAGCCATTGGTTAGTCTTTTTGAAAAAGTCACGCAACGGATTAAACCAGTAGAAAACGATGTTCCTCTTGGGTTCGAAATCATGGGTTTGAACTCGGGATTTGTTATGTACGAAACTATTTTGACTGACGAACAAAAAGACGGCACAGCTTCTGTAAACCTTACTATTAGCACAATCAGAGATCAAGCAACCATCTTTTTGGACCAGGTATACGCTATATATGATTCATAATAATTTTGTAATATACCTACTGTGGACAAATTTGTCTAAGGCCTGATTTATCGAAAACCTTAATATCGATATGACGAATGACGATATATTGTTACATACAATATCGATATATTACTTTATCAAACAAAAGATACTGTTAAAGTTGAACTGTTGAAGCGTTGGTAAACTGCACAACCGATGCGTATGTGTAATTGGTATAGTTGTTAATAATGTAGAATTTCAATACTCTCCTGATTTTGAAATTTTTGTTTTTCTAAATATCAGCACTTCGATATTATCGATGAGTAAAAATATTGACACCAAAATAACAATATTTTTTCAGAATATATCAAATATGAATACATTGTTAAATATTATATATCAATATATTCTTAGATAATATCTATATACATCGTTGCCATAATAATTAGGTAGGTACTAAACATTTCTTTTTTTAGGTACAAATGAAAGTTATACCTCGTAAATACGAAAATACACCTATTAGTTTAAATATAAATAGTACTGTTCAAAAGCTAAGCATTCTAATAGAAAATCAAGGAAGAATCAACTTCGGAAGCTTTTTGGAAGACCGAAAGGTTAGTACCTACTGGTTACGTTGTACCTATTTTATCGTATATCGGCTTGTCATAATGTCATTACTAACTAAATTATACTTTGTACAGGGTATTTTTGAACCAGTATTATTGGGTAGACATGTACTGGGTCCGTGGAAGATGATAGCATACCCTTTAAATGAAACGTCCTGGTTTTCGACGATTGAACCACAAAAAGACGTTGTATTACCAGCATTTTATAAAACCCAATTTAAACTACCCGATGGTTTAACAAAACCTTTGGATACTTATTTGGATGTTACCGGTTGGAAAAAGGTTGGTTTTTAAAATTATTATTTGACTAAAATTAATTGCATAATTAATTTTTTTTATTTTGTTATTAAAAGGGCGTTGCTTTTGTGAATGGAATAAATATAGGGCGATATTGGCCATCAGCTGGACCACAAATAACTCTTTATGTTCCAGCTACATTTCTAATTCCACAGCCGGGATTAAACACCATCGTCATGTTGGAACTTGAAGGAGTTCCCGAGAACTTGTCAATATCGTTAACTGATAAACCTATTCTTTTTGGTCCTATAAATATCTTGCAAACCAATCATTAACAATGCTGGTTACACTTGATATTTTTTGTTAATTAAATTGTGGTTAGTGTAGTTAAAATTAGTACCTAGTTTAATTTATTTTCATATCATTATTATGGTGATAATCAGCATGTTATCTACTATGCAGTTACAACTTGTAAAATATCCGTGTAAAATATCTAATGGTTAGTTATTTGTTCTTTTAACTTTATAGATAATTTAAAAAGTTGTCATCAAAATGTAGTTTTGATTCTCCCCTATGACAGTGAGCACTGAGCTGGAAATGTTTGTAGGAGGTACCTATCTATCATACATAGGTATATAAGTAGATTTAAGTATTTTAAGCATTTTATGTAGGTATCTACAATTTGTATTATTTATTATTATGAATGTTCACCCTTACAAATTTGAAATTACTATTTAAAAAAAAAAAATTAACTTTTGTATATAATAGTGTATTTGTGATATGGAAATACAATGGATATCGAATTTTTTTTAAAATTCTTTTTAATTCTATTCTTTATTTATGTCATAATTTCTTTAAAAAATGTACTTACATTATTGCTACGTAAATGTGAGTTTTAATACTTGAGAAATATATTGCATCACCTACTCATTTAATTTTAGATTTTGAATTGGACGAAAAATTGATGAAGTTTATAAGGTATGTTTTTACTGAAACACATTTTAAACAGCACTAAAAATACTTAAAGTTTTAAAAATCTCTTTAAAATCTCATTATTTTCACAAAATAATACATTAAATAATTATATTGTCTTATGCAGTTCATACATAACCGCAGGTAGATGATGTTTTAACTCAAATAATGTTTATATTGTCATTCTCTATTAATACTTTTAATATTTTTCCGAGCTTTTAATAGATATTTGACATTTTATAGTTTTTTTAATCTTGGTTATTATAGAATCAACTTGATACATGGTATTTACTAAATAAAAATAAATAATATACAGAAAATAAATTAGTTCCGATCGATTAAAATATGTATTGATCCAACTTTAGACTCTGAGCGGTACCATGCATGTATTGATTTGACAATGATGTGTTTATTTTTATATTTGTCATCACTCCTCTCATACTGGGACATTAAAAGTGTTTCGATTTTCTACTTTTTAACATTTATGTTAGTCTATGGCACAATTATTGTTATCCACATTTGTATGTTAACTTACTGTTTTTATTTTATTTACTATATTATCATGTTTGATTCATCAGTGAGTTGCCTTCCATTAATTATGTATTGAATTTGCTAAACATTTTATACATTTTTATCTACATAATAATTTTCGTGGTTTTGATGAATTTTGTCAACTTTTGACAAATTTTTATAAAAAAATAAAATATTGTCACTGTATTTTCGATATAAAATTACATCACAACTTTAAGAGCCGTTATTTTTACACGGAGTTTGGTAAAATTTTACATAAAAAGATTTCTTGAAAAACATAATATAATATGGACCTCTAAAACCCTCTAAAAATTAATGGAATCCTAGACCATGCCCATTGTAGTAAACCGACGTTTTTGCACAAAAACGGCGTTCCAAAGGTTAGGTGGCCTGAACAACATCACGCCACCAAAATAGGAAAAAGGGCAGCCTCATTGGTTAATACTGATCGACTACGCATCACGCCATTCCAATGACGTCAATCATCCTTTCCTAAATTCCGGACATGTCTCATATAAATAGGGGCCCTGTTTCACAGACTTTTCAGACATAGAAGTAGTTACCAGTGCTTTACAATACTTGTGTGGGTCATCTTGTGTGGACTAATCTCAATAGTAAAGTAAACCCAATATTTTAAATTTCGAAACATAATGTAATATTTTTAGTTCACAAACGTTAATTGAGTATCAATTAATAATATTGCTACTCCAAATCTATCAAATGTAAGTAATATAAATACTATAATTTTAGCTGGTTTTTCATATCTTAATTATTGTTACAATTTAATCTATAATAATGACCCAGAACGGTTGACCCCTATCTGGGTCTTAATTATATCTGTTTTTTTCCAACGTTATTAATATAAATGTATCCTCAATAATATCTCTGTTTTTAAACTTTTATTTTGTTTGTTTTTTTGCTAAATATATATAATTTATATTATATATTATATGACCACTCATGCCGTTATATCGTATGTATTATCCAGTCTAGCCAATTAAACTATTTGTTTTAGTGTTAAAATATTTATGCTCGCCAATATATCCTTTATGCTTTAGTGGCATTTTAAAAAGCCTAATAGTGAAAAATAGCTCTTATAATATATAAAAATCACTAAACAAAACCAATTTTATAATAATATTATTATTAATATTCTTGGCTACCTAATTGCATTGTCCAGGTTTTCAAAACCTCTTTCGTTCATGGTAGGTACCTAAAAGGAACCAATTTGTTGAATATAAAAACTTTTATTCAAGTTATTTTAATGGGATATCTGGTGTTCCTCAAGAATCCCATATCGCTCAACTCTTATTAAATGTATTTTGTAATGATAACAAATTTTCCAATTTATTATCATAAGTTTATTGTTTGCCGATGAAGTTATATCGTATTATTAAAACTTCTTATTATGCCATAATGATAAAATTACTTAAATCATCTCTCTGTTTGGTGTGACCATAGTAAATTATATTTAAATATTTCTAAATGCAAAGTCATGTCATTCTTGAAAAAGCGATCCTCGTATCTTCATACCTACTATTATTTAAACCTTCTTGAATTCATTAGTGTATACGAGAATAGAGATTTAGGCATAACTGTTGACACATCTATATCATTTAATCTTTATTATATTCACGTGCCAAACAAAGCTGTAAGGACTTTAATAATTTAATATTGTGTTGAAAATTGAAATCATTATAATGCGTAGGTATAATATGTATGATCAATTTTTGATTATAATCCTAAATTTGGTTCGTGGGCTCAATACAAGCAATAAAGACGATTCAAATTTAGTTTTTAAGAATATGATTGTGTAGGTGTAATTTTATACGACAACCTCACTCTTCTCACCACCCACTATTGACTTTTTTTAAAGCTTGAACTATTAGAAACAAGACCAATAAGGCTATATTCTTAATTTTTAAATTACTTAAAGAAAAGATTTATTTTCCAATTCTACTTGCCTAAATTAATTTCTCGATTCCTATTCGTAATACTTTACAATCAAATACTTTTTTTGTGCCATTTCAGTCTACTAACTTTAGCTTTTGTATATAAATTTATGATTTTAGTAATTAAGAAAAATGTTATAAATAAGTTAATAAATATTATATCATTAATTTTATTACTGAATTTAGAATGTTATCATTTTGGAACATTTATAGTATGTATCCAAAAACTATAATATTATATGTATAATAATTGTCAAATATATATTTTTAATTTATAGATAATAATCATCAATAAATATTTATAATTAGTAATACCTAATTAGGTGTTACAATCTATAATAATTGTACTCCAATACTACTAAACACTACTATAACGATACTTAGGTACTTTAATATTTCAAAAATGTATTTGAACGAATCATTTATAAGACTTATTGAGACTGAATCAATTTCTTATTTTGTATTTATAAATTGTTTGCTCCGAGTTCAGACATGAAAGTCAAAGTTGGTAGGTACCTACATGTGTTTTAATTCCTTTTTATTTTAATTATAATAAAATATAAATAATAAAAATAATAAAAATGTATATACAACCAGTTTCCAGGTGTTTCAAGAAAAATAAAATATGATATAATATTTAGGTATTTATTTTAAATATTTATATTTTATATATTACTATTGTCTTGTATAATAATACAAATTGTGTTTGGGTGGCATTTCGGGACTTGTATAGGCAACTCATTGTACACATTCTTATTAATCAATCAAAACGTTAATCTCAATTGCTAACTTTACACTAGTATACAAGAAGTCATACTTGGAGAAATTCCGATTTCCTTCCAAATCTTACCAGTGAATTGAGCGCCGCTAGCCATGATCTGACACACCTCGTGATTTTCATTATGAAAAATTCACTAATGGAGAGTTTTAAATTACCGATCCATCAATAATAATTAAGAGTTATGACACTTACAAAGGTGTTTGTCGAGATTGGTTGACGATACTACATAGTTCCCAATAAATACGATTTAGCAGAAAAGAATTAATGAAACATTTTTGGGAAAATTGTGATGAATACTAAAATAATATAGTGGTGAAATTACGTTTATTTTATTATAAAAAAATATAGTTTTTGTTTAATAATATATTCGCATTAGCTAGTCTTGTAAGTTATTTAAATATTTTTTACCTACTCAAATTTGTATTTTAAATACCTGTTTTTGAAAAAGTACTTTGACGAGTATTTTAAATACTTTCTCGTGTAATAATGGTTAATTTTAAGTGTGTATATAGCAATGGGGGGAAAGTTAATGAAAATAATTAACTGTGGAAAGTTAAGTTCATTCAATTAAATTGCCTTCAGTTAAGTTAAAAGTTAACAAATAAAAAATTTAACTAGATAAGTTTAAAGTTAAGATAGAAAATAAAATTAACTTATCTCAGTTAATTTTTTTGATGGTACAATATTGTTAAGTCATAAACCACCATAGTATTTCGTTATACACAAACATTTACCAAGATATTTAACACTGTGTAAAATATAAGATTATTATAATATATAATTTGAAAATAAATTACCACAATCGTAAAAAAGTCGAAGAATCAGTATTGCCTAGTTGATTAGGTACGCATGACTCAAAATTAAAATTAACTTAACTACATGACAATGATAATAAACTAGAAAAAATTATGTTACAACAATAACAATTTTAACTGAATAAGTTAATAAGTTAAAAATAAAAATAATTAACTAGTTAAGTTAAAAAGTTAAAAAAAATTAATTTTTTGACAAGTTAATGCCCACCTTTGGTATATAGTACACACTACTGTGTGTAGCGTGACCATTAAATAAACGGTTACTAAATGCATTATCTGTACTG